TTTCCAAAGGCAGGGTTGGTTTTTTTCTTCTTCTTCTTCGTGTCTGTGTATAGAAGATGGGGAGAGAGAGACACTGAAGGGGGGAAAAAGAATGGGGAAAGAGATGGAAGGGGGAAGAAATGGGGAGAGAGAAAGAAATGGAGGGGGGGAAGAAATGGGGAGAGATGGAGAGGGGGAGGGAGATGTGGGGAGAAAGAGAGTAGATACAAATATGCAGTTTATATCATTTCTATGTATGTATACAGGCAACCCCCACTTAGAGCCCAATATGGTTCCTGAAAAACCCAGCATTAAGTGAAACCAAAAGTATTTGACAACCCAAGATGGCAACCACGATTGTTTTTAATGACCCAAGATGGTGACCTTGAGCATTGTAACAAAACTCGCTGAGCGCCAAGTGGAATAGGGTATCAATTTTAAATGAGCGTTATAGCGAAATAGCGCTAAGCCAAAGAGAGTTAAGTGGGGGTTGCCTGTATATAACTATACATTTAATATATGTATTATATCATTTTTATACCTGTATAATGTGGCTGGATGTTGAAAATAACTTTTTTTTTTCACTGAGGGAAACAGGCACATAAGCAGCAATTCTTCTCTTGCGATCAAATGTCTGTGCTGACCCTTTAGGTACCATGGAGCATCTCTGGGACCCCCAGAACGTAAGGAGCCAAACCTGCAACCCTTTTGCGAGTGCTGCACTTGCTTGCTCAGATCCTTTGAAGTCAATGGGGCTCTTCCCTTGACTGGTGGCTACCAATCAGAGGAAGGGCTGCAAGTTCATGTTCATATTGGGTCTGAGGGCATTCTCTCCAAAATGGGGATTTCACTAAGAGGGTTTGGATTTTGAGGGTATGGAGAAATAGCTACTGTGGGTTGTGACTCTGCAGGAACTCCCTATTGGCTCAGGGTCAACCCAAGCAGCTCTTTTTGGGCCTGGAGGAGCCTGTGTTTTAGATGGTTTGACTTACCATTTAGGTAGTCAAAGAGACCTTGGCTTTAGGACGACTGTCGCATAAACAGGTTCTGCCAAAAAAAATCAGTTTCAGTTGTCTGTAGCTCACTACTGTCCTATGTTTACATGAACATATTGCATACATAGTAGGCAATGGTTGATTCTCTGGATCCTGGTGTACACATAAGAGGTCTTGTCAGATGCCTGATAAATCTGTTTGTGGCTGACAAGCCCAATTGGAGAGCCACACAGCTTGTTACAAGTTTCACAGATCCATATGTTTAAATGTGAAAGAAGAAATCAGAATGCTTTGAGGCAAAATCCTAAATTGGAAAGTGATATACAGAGGCTTTGCCCTGTCCTTGGAGGCCCGCACCAAGAGGGCCCTTCCCTCATGAAAATCTCACACCATTGCACATGGAGGATAGAATAGCAACTCAACCAGTGGGTGTCCTTGTCTCCTGCAGGGTCAGGGATCCAGTAGCTAGAGGGGCAGAATATGACATGGGGTGGGGGGATTCCCAGTTGTTTTCCCCAACTCCAGAGGGGAAAAACTACTGAGGTAAATACAGGTTCAGACTGTGTTAATTTCCGAGTTGAGCCCTTGAGTACAGTAGACCGTGTAGGCCAACTGTTTGCATTGAAAGGCTGAGTCACGTTGGCAAGGAGGCCAGGGAGGGGTTTGGAGGACTGGAGTTCAGTGAAGAGCACAGGAGCTCTATGCTGAGGTCCTTGGACTTGAGTTGGTCCCCAAGATCATGTCAAGATTTCCTCTTGGTTGGTTCCTTCCTAGAAGTCTTTCCAAGGGAGTGGGCAATCTTGATCTCTACTTTACAGGGAAGTTCTTTTGTCGTATACACACAATCAGTGATCACTGCTGAGTGCATCTACGTGTGCGCTTTACTGTGGAACTGACTAATTAACTCCATAGTAAAACGTCTACATATGCACCCCGATTAGGGTACAGTAAATTAATTAACTCCACTGTAGAATAGTACTGTCTAGGACAAGTACTGTTTTACAGTGGAGTAGTTACATGTGCCAAAATGCACGTATAGATGGTGACCAGGGCTGTCTGGGGCACAAGGATGCTACAGCACAGGGGCTGCCTGCCAGCTAACCCCCACACTGCAGCTCCCTCACGCCCCAGCCAGCCCCTCCACAACAGGTTGAGCAAGGTCAGAGCAGCTCCAAGCTGGCAGGCTGACCCCCCCCTCCCCCCAAGCCATGCCAGCAGGGCTCTTCCACCCCTGGCTCAGCATACTGCATCCCTGGGTGCACATGTAAACACTGCGCCCAGGTGCATTAAACTCTGGTGCATACTGCACTGGAGTTTGCTACATGCTCATGGCACATGTAGATGCACCCACTGCTTTCCATACCTGTCTACCTTGTTTAAACCAGCAGGGTGGTAGACTGCTTAAGTTGTTCCTACATATGAAAATCCAAGAGAATCAGGGAAGATAGGACGATGTGAAAGACATTCTTCATAATGAACCTCCCAATAATATGCAGTGCGTTATTGAGAGAGATCCATTCTCAGTGCCTCTTCACTGCTTGTTTGGGGACACACAACTTCACTGGCAGAAACTATGTTCCAGCCGTAGGCTGTGACTTCCAGCTTCAGAGCTCTCTTAAAGTATTTGGACCCATTGTCGTGTCCTTAAGGTTGTTCGTTGTAGCCATTTTGGCCTAAGGGCATAGGCAGACAAGGTTCTTTGGGTAAATCTGATATCTTCTATTAGACAAACTAAATAGTTGGAAAAATTGTTCCTTGCAAACTTTCGGGCACAAACACCCTGTTTGTATCCCTGACGCCCCTAAAGATCTTCAGGTTGATTAGAGTCATGGGGTGTGGATTATTGAGCCATTTGTGAGCCAAACTGTAGTGGAGTAGAAAGAGAATTTGTGGGGAGGGAGAAAAGGCCCAAAAATGAAGAAAAGAGATAAAAGTTGTGAAAAAGATGTGAGGAGTGGAGGAGAACTGCAGATGTTTGAGTGGGGAAAGCAGTTCTAATTGTTATCGCTGAAATCCAGATATCCTTATATTACATAAATATGTACTATTAACTTTGTCCCAAGGTTGACCCCACTTTTAGATACTGAGTAGTGTATTAAAGAAAAAACTTATTAGCTAGAAAACAATAAATGTTTAGCAGTCTTGATAAAAAAACAAAATATACATAAAGTGTCATTTCATACTCTTCATGCTCTCAGTGCTGTGAAGGTTAATTAGAGCTGTGTTGCATACAGTTTCCATTTCCACGTGCCTGCTGGGAATGAGTCATTGGTTTCCATCCCTCCGGTTTCCATTTGAGTTTAATGTTCAAATGAACCTAATATCTCAAAAAGAAACTCTCTTGCCCCCCTAATCAAAATATAATGTTGACAGAGTTTATCAGTTCCATTTCCTGCTTCCTGAACTCATGAATGAATCTCTCTCAAATGACATTTAAAAACATTTTAATTTTCTAATATTTGTTGTATAGCCTTTTTATGTTCCACTGTGTTTTTAAAAGTTGATGGTGGGTTGCATGTATCCATGGTATAACTTTGCTGACAGTTCAGGTTTGCACCTAAAATCAATTTAACAAATTTAGTTGGATCACCTTTAATCACAATTTGTACCTTTCTTTCTTATCATAAAAACACAAGTACAAAATGTGCCCTGCTTGACAGAATTTGCCCAACAGACCCAGGAACACATGGACTATAATAACTGGATATCATGCCCAGGGGTCTGCAATACCTAAAGTGTTATTGGCAGAGCTGTAGGGTGATGAGTTTGTGCTGTTTGCATTCTCTCTGCCCAGCACTAGCCAATATGCTTTTATTCAAATTCACTTTGAAGAAGGACTGAAAACTGATATCTTTTTCAGGTTTGACAGTGACTGCTGTAAAGGACTCTGGTGAATGGAATTTGGAAGCTGGAGCATTGGTGCTTGCAGATGGAGGTCTTTGCTGTATCGATGAGTTTAATAGTATCAAGGAACATGACAGGACTAGCATCCATGAAGCAATGGAGCAACAAACCATCAGTGTAGCTAAGGCAGGGTAAGGGACATGTAAAATCATACGATAATCCAAAGTAGATTTCCCCTGAATCCAAAATAAGATAAAAGCTAGAGCTAATTTTGCCATGGTGATCAATTTAAATATTACACATATTATACTGTACAGTTTTTGTTTAAAAAAATACCAACTAAACTATTCAAGATTTCAAAGAATAATGAAGTAGACATAAGAACACACCACACACATGGATCCCCTACGCTATTTTTGTAAAAATCTTACTACTGTATGCAGAGAAAGCACACTTTTTAACTGACTGTTGTTTGTTCATCTTTTAATAGAGATGGTCTTAGTGATAGGATGAGGAAAAACACTCCCTCCACTCCATGCACATATGACAACTACTGAATGGCAGGTAGCATAGGAAGAGGAAAAGATTCCCAAGCTGCTTACCGTTCTGTGGTTAAGGAGTGCCACGTAAGGGACTACTGGTCACTGGGGGTACAGACAGAAGTGGAATTCCCACCTATAACTCAGAACAACTTTTGTAAAGCGTTCTGAGTTACAACCTTACCGCAACCCAAACAGAAGTTCACTGTTGGATCCAGGGGGAGGGGAATCTAGCTGGAACCTACAGCCAGGTTCTCTGCTAGTGCTGGCTGTTTTCAGAATTGGAGGGGTGGGGAA